CTCTGGGCCCTTGGGAAAGGTTTGGGGGCAGGGGCTTTAGGTGGGGTGCAGGTGGTTCCTTTTGTGCGCCCTGTCCACACCCTTGTCAGTTGTGAGATTCCCGAGGATTTCTTGCCTAGTTTTCTTTCTGGATGGAGAGGGCGTCTTTTGGGGTCCCCCCTAGCTTGTTGCTGGGGGTTGAATCCATTACTAGGAGGGTGCTGTGTTTGCTGTGATCGCCTGAGGCGGCCCCAACCCCCCCGCCAGGTCAGCTCCACTCACCCTCTTTTATTTCCCCTGCAGCTAGATTTCAAAGGCTGCAGAGGCAGGTGCCTGGGTTGCAGCCTGATTCCCGGGCGGGCCCGTGTCACATCCATGTTTCTCTCTCTGAAAAAGCAAATGGGAAAGAAATGTCCTCGGTGAGGATTTTTAAAAGTAACAGCCCGGCCGGCGTGGCTCAGCGGTGGAGCATCGACCTCGGATCCCGGAGATCGGCGTTCGATTCCCGGTCGGGGCACAGGCCCCGGTGTCCAGCTGGATCCCCAGTCGGGGGCGTGCAGGAGGCAGCCGATCAATGACTCTCCTCATTGATGTTTCTCTCTCTCTCTCTCTCCCCCTTCCTCTCTCGGAAATCAATAAAGACGTAGTTAAAACAAATTTTTTTTGATTAGTAAAGAATGAACCAATGAATGCATGAATAAGCGGAACAGCAAATTGATGTTGCTCTCTCTCTCTTTCTCCCTCTCTCCCTTCCTCCCTCTAAAGTCTGTAAATTAAAAAAGAAAAGAAATTGAAGCTCTAAGGAAATGAGGGTGCTGAGGATCCTCAACCGGAGGTAGTTACTTATATTACTGAGACTTTGTGAGTTGGGGGCGGGGGGTGCTGCTAGTAACAAAACAAATTCATACATTTAATTAAAAATTAAATTTAAAGATTATTTATTTTAGAGAGAGAGAAATATTGATTTGTTGTTCCACTTACTGATGCAGCCATTGCTTTATTCTGTTTTTTTAACATGTCTTTATTGATTTCAGAGAGAGGAAGGCAGAGGGAGAGAGAGAGAAATGTCATTGATGAGAGAGCCATTGATCAGCTGCTTTCTGCACTCCCCCCACTGGGGATCGAGCCCGAAACCCAGGCATGTGCCCTGACGGGGAATCGAACCTCCATCTCCTGGATCCTATGCTGATGCTCAACCACTGAGCCATGCCCAGGCGGGCACATTGGTTGGTTCTTGTATGTGCCCTGACCAGAGACTGAATACACAGCCTTGGCACGTCGGGACAACAGCTTGAGTTTTTACTGCAATTCTTAGGTTAGTGTGATTTTAGACCCAGGAATGGAGGCGCGGTGTGTCAAAGGTGCTGGTTACCTTGTCCAAGGACAACTAGCTGGTTGGTGGCAGGGCTGAGATTTGCTTCGGAGCCCTCAAGCTCTGAGTCAATATTTGTCCCCAGGGTACATGTGGCAATATCTGGAGGCATGTTTGGTTGTCACAGCTGGGGAGATACTACTGGCATCTAGTGCAAGAAGTTCAACATTTTCTGTGGCAAAGGATTATACAGCCCAATGTCCATCAGTGTGGCGGTTAGAAACCTGGAGAAGACAGGTATTCACTGAATGCTGACTCAGTGCCTCCCACTTCCAGAACCCCTTGTGGGGTAGGAGCCACGATTAGTCCTCTGTTACAGGTGGAGAAATTAAGCCCAGAGAGGACAAGGCATATGACCAAGGTCACACAGCGGGTCAGTGGCAGAACTGAAAACTGGAGCCAGGCAGCCCAGCGCCAGAGCCCATCTCCTCACCTCTTAATAAACCCAGCCTGGGTTACTTATTTTTAAAAATGTTTAAAATTGATTTTTAGAGGGAGGAGAGGGAGATAGAGAAACATCAGTGTGAGAGTGAAGCATTGATTGGTTTCCTCCTACACACCCCGTACTGGGGATCAAACCCAAAACCCAGGCATGTGCCCTGACTGGGAATCGAACCTGCAACCTTTCAGTGCTGCGGTCAACACCCAACCAATGGAGCCACACAGACCAGCACAGCGCTTTGTTTTATTGGGGGCATGGGGAACTAAGGCAGAGTCGACATCAATTGCTCCAGGTCACACTGCTCCTAAGAGGGGACACTGGGGTATGCACCAGCACCCCTGCCCCTCACTGTGGGAGGCAGCAAGTTCTGGAAACACTGGGCTGGGCTCTCAACGTGCTGGACGTCTCACTCCACAGGTGCTGCCGTCCCCATCAGGGCTCTTAGGCCCCCATGGAAGTCCTTTCCCCGCTGCCCGTGAAGCAGGAGGGCCAGACCCCTGAGGGCCTGGCCCTGGACTCACCATGGCACCGTTTCCGCCACTTCCACCTGGGGGACGCCCCGGGCCCCAGAGAGGCACTGGGCCTGCTGCGCGCCCTGTGCCGGGACTGGCTGCAGCCCGAGGTACGCACCAAGGAGCAGATGCTGGAACTGCTGGTGCTGGAGCAGTTCCTGAGTGCCTTCCCCGCTGACATCCAGGCCTGGGTGTGCAGCCGGCGGCCCCAGAGTGGAGAGGAGGCCCTGGCCCTGCTGGAGGAGATCTGGGTGAGCATGCAGGAGGCGCCCCCACCCCCCAATCCCTGAGCAGCCTTGTGGTCGGAGACTGGGTGCCCCTCCAGCCTTACTGTCTGCCCGGTCCTTGCCCTGTGGGAGTCTCTTCCACATGTGAGCAGACAGACCAAACATGTTCAAGGGTGTGACAGTAGGGATGCTGTCAGTGGGAGCCTCAGGCTGGCAGGACAGTTTATCTTTAAATACGTTTTATTGATTTTAGAGAGGAAGGGAGAGGGAGAGAGATAGAAACATCAATGTGAGAGCACAACATAGATTAGCTGCCTCCTGCACTCCCCCTCCTGGGCATTGAGCTTGCAACCCGGGCATGTGCCCTGACCCGCCACCTCCCCAGGTAGATGGTGAAAGGGCTGGGAAAGGGTGTTCCAGGCAAAAGAGTGGAGACCCAAGAGAGCTTGGCACCTGGGACACACATGCTGAATACTGTGGCAGGGACTTAGAGGTCCAGGTGGGGACCCCACCAGAGGTGGGGCCAGAGGGGGTGTCAGGGGCCAGGGCACCCAGGCCTCACGGGCTGCTGCAGAACCAGTGGGCCCCTAACACCCTGAGCTGCACGAGTAGTCAGGAATCGATTTACAGAAAGGTGACCACGCGTTACCCACCCTGCTGCCTCCCTGACAACAGGCATTTATCTGTATGTTCCAAGCAAGGTGCTGCTATGGAAGGCTGGAGGCTTCCTGCTGAGTCCTCTCACCACCTGAGAGTTAGGCAACGCTGATTTTCACCCTAACGACTGCTTTAGCCCGAAAGCATTGGAAATAAGTAAAATGTGAGGGAGCGAGTTGGATGCGGACGACTTCTGCATCAGCCCCTCATTGGCACCAGGAGGATCCTGACCTTTTCCTCGGCGACAAAGGTTTGAGGAACCAGGACAAGAGCAAGAAAGAACCAAATATTGACCCTCTGCAGCTTTGTCCGAAACCTTCCTTCCTCCTGGCTGGTGCTGTCCTGCTCAGAGCTGGGCACTGTGTGAGCTGGGGGAGATCCTGTTCTGAGTTAACTTTATTTTTTCCTGAGTTTAAAGTGGCTTGTGTTTTTCTTCCTGAATTTTGTCACAAGAGTTTGCAAAGGGTGGTAAGAAGCTACAACAATATTCAGAGCAGGTGTATCTGTTACCTGTAGCTGTGTAGCAGGTCACCCCAAACTTAATAGCTTAAAAATAAACATTTAGCATCTCATGCAATCTCGGTGGGTCAGGAACTTGCAGTGGGTCTGGTTTGGGGTCTCAGGAAGTTGCAGGTAAGATGTTAGCAGAGGCTTTTGTCACCTGAAGGTTAGCCCAGGGCTGGAGGAGGCGAGGCAGCTCCCTCATGTGGGCCTTGCCTGGGGTGGCTGAGTGTCCCCCAGCGTGGCAGCTGGCTTCCCCCAGAGTGGGTGATGGGCCTCGGTGAGTGGTTGAAGGTGATGGGGAGAGAGAGGGACAGAAATCCATGCCCTTCCTCAGGTGTCTCAATTCAGAATTGGTATCTCGTTTCAGGGACCAGCGATGAGGGCCCCTCGGGATGTGACAGAGGGCTCCGGGGTTGGCCTCCAGAAGGAAGATGGCCGCATGATTCCTCTAGGTGAGCAGCTGACCCCGTTCTCACACCGCTGGCTTCCTCCCCAGCCCAAGGTGGGCCTCAGCCTGCCCGCCACTCATTTCAGTGAGCATCCCTGGTGTCCTTGCTGTGGGCTCCAGGGGCTGGAGATGAATCAGTGGCCCTGCCCTGGAGGGCAAAGTGGGGGCGATGGGCAGGCTGGACCATGGCGCCGGTGACATGTGCACCAGGTGTAGCGAGCTGAAACCCCACCACAGCCCCTGAGATATGCACATTGCCCACGTTCTGTAGCTGCAGACATGGGTACAGAAATAAGGTTACTCACCTGAGACCAGGGGTTGGCAAAACCCAGAACACACTGGGCCGTCTGGCCTGGACCTTTGCACCCACACCCAACCTCTCAGCTAGTTGCATGGAGTCCCCGAGTCACATCTTGTTGGTTGTGATTGAGCCATGCTCGTCCCAATCCGTGCACTATGGTCAGGGGTGCAGCACCCCATCCGGAGAGCCCAGGCCTGGCGCACATACCTGCCCACGGGGCTGGGGCTTGAGCTAGAGCCAGCTCTGTCCAGACCACATGTGTGACAGTGAGAAAGGGAGGTCAGGTGGGACATCAGCACAGGCAGACAGTGATTCTGGGCCAGTGCAGAACCAAGTGCCAGGCGGCCAGGTGCAGCCATTCAGGTGGGAGACAGCTGAGGCCGAAACAAGCGGCTGAGGGTCACCCCAAGGTCGAAGGTGGAGGCAGCAGGATGGAGTCCATGAGGAGGGGGAGACCTGGGGGGGAGGGGTCACAGTGAGGACAGGGGACTGGGGTGGATGGGGTCACATTGAGGACAGCGACAGGTGGTTCTTGGCAGTCCTTAGTCCCAGGGAAAACTGATGGAGGTGGACAGACTGTAAGGTGTAAGGGTGCTGTGGTCCTGGGGGGAGAGCAGAGAGGGTGGGAATTCAGGGCCCTTCCTGCAGTAGGACGGGGCTGGGAGGGCCACAGGAAGAGGCCTCTGAGCTCAGTGCCCTCCTCTGCTCCCCTGTATCGGGGACAGTAGTGACCTGCTCCTGCTGGGATGTGTGAGGGTGAAGTGAGACTGCAGATGAAGGCTCAGCCCCGCCCCAGCACACACGCAGAGAGCAGATCTTAGCAATTATTTTATCAGCCTGTGCTCCTGGAGAAAGCACGGGTTGTTTGTGTCTCTGTGGAGTCCCCAGACCAATTTGAAAACCCAGAGAAAGGGAATGTGTGGTTCATACCCGAGCCACCCTCCCATTTGTCACCCGGGTAGCCGGTCAGAGGCTTCCCAGCCCCTTGTGCATCACCCACCCATCAGCCGACCTCTCTCATCCCTTCACCTGGCCCCTCTGGCCTCCCCAGCACCCGTCTGTCCACCCCTTCACCTACCCACCTGTCCACCTGCCCGCTGGTCATCCACCCATCCATCCTCAGACTTTTACTCACCCATTTTCTCCCCCATGGGCCCATCCAAGTGCTGATCTGCCGTCTGTCCATCAGTTCGCCCTTCCCCAGTCTCTTCTGTGCCCTGTACCACTTCCCACCCACACACCCATTTGTGCTGTGGGCATTTCCTCTGCAGCAGGCGCTGCTGTGAGGTCGCAGCGGTGAGTGAGGAGCCCGTGCCCACCACCGTCCCCAGCGCTGCCCTTCCTACCGACACGGCCGGTATCCCCGGCCCACCCCAGGCTGGCTGTGCCCGCCCCGCCTTGCGCAGAGCCTTCGCCCTGACTGCGCCTTTGCCCAGCAGGAGACCCGGTCCCAGGGGTTGAGGAGCTGGCCGCAGGGGACGCCCAGGCCACGCGCCCCTACAAGCAGGAGCCAGGCAGCCCCCCGC